ACATAGCCCAGGATCTCACGTCCTATGCTACGTATGCTACTTCTAATTATAATTCTTGAAGGGATTTATCTGTCCTTGTCAGCATGGGAGATCCAACCAGTGATATTGAAGTTTGTCTGAAAAGGAAGGAGTATTTTCATCTGTCAATAATACTAAGGACTTCTCAGAACACCTTCATACTGTATATTTTGACTGGGCACTGTTTACATACTGTTGTCATATATTTAGTTGTTTTCTGATATAGAGTATTGTTTATATGTCTATTTAGCTACATTATCTAGACACCTAGACCTTGGTTATTTTAGTGCAGTTAGCAGGGGCACAGTGTGTTTTCTTTTCTTCTTCTTTCTCAACAGCCCCCCCTCATCAACTACCCAGCTTAGGCCTTGCAAAGAGAGAGCCATAGTTTTCTTTATTGAATCTATCCATCTGTAATGTGATTTTCTTCTTTTCCTACTGTCTTTTCCAACAAGTCATGCCATCTCATGATATATCCAAACTACAAAGACCTCAGCTTAGTCATTTTTGGCTTGTAGGATGCATTCAGGCTTGATTCACTCCCGGACTCATTTATTTGTCCTTTTGACAGTCCACAGTATCAGCAGAACTCTCCTCCAGCACCATATTTCAAATGAATCAATTTTCTTCCTAGTGCACTGTCTAACTTTCACAACCATGCATAGAAATCTGAAATACTATGCATAGATGACCCGGACATTGCTATTCAATTATATATATCTTTTTGCTTGAGGGTCTTATCTAGTTCCTTCATAGCTGCCCTTCCAAATCTAACCACCATAACGCCATTTAAAACCAAATAATGCTTCCCAAGCTCTGTGCTTCAGAACTACTGGCTGGAATTCATGATTGCAGTTGCAAATGCATAACTGAGAGCTACACATTCACGACTAGTTCATATTCATGATCCCTACAAACTCAGTAGTGTAGAGAATATGCAGGGATCATAACGGTTCCTCAGCCCTGATTTATTGGACAGCAGCTGCTGCAAGCAACACAGTCTTTCTCCTGTCGATCAGGATGCAGCAGACTGACATTTGCATTCCCCTCCTGCGAGCTGATGTGAAGGGGAATTATTCTGATACTTGCACTGGAGATTGCTCATAGGAATAGATGGTGGAAACATTAGTCTGCTGCATCCTGATCAGCAGTAGAGCAGATCCCTGTTTCTTGTAGTGGCTGAGGGTCATCGTCGTCATCATCCATCCATCCATCCATCCATCCATCCACCTTTTTCCCAGTTTGGCACTCAAGGCAGTGTTGTCCACCGGGGTTCTCTGTTCATCAGGGGAAGTGGAGTAGCAGTAGTCTATTGAGATTCCATTTCCTTAACCAGGTGCCCTATAGATGTCCAGCCACTATTTAAATAACTACTCTTGACATAGAGGGTGTGTGTATGGGTGTTATTCCCAACAGGTTCCTGTGACAATTACCTCAAAATGTACACACCCAGAGTGTTGGTCATGCTCCTGTGAGCTTGCACGATTTTTTCCCTCCCAAAATATAGTTTGAATTTTTTCCCTCCCAAAATATAGTTTGAAGCATGATGAGAGCCTGAAAAACAAGACAGAAAAAATATCATGGTGTGACACACCAAAATGATGGGGCTAGTGTGCGATTGCAGCCACCTTGAGCTTCTGCCAGAGCTTGGAAAAGTTACTTAATGGATTGGGCATGCTGGCTAGAGGATTCTAGAAATCTGCTTCTTATCACTCCTTTTCCAGAGCTTTTGTTTTTTGCAATGAATATTTTTTGTAATGCATATTTTTGTAATGAGTAAAAGCCCATGCTAGAAAAATTAATTAACATAAGAAAGTAATATTTCCATACTCTGCTCTTCTAAACAAACATGTCAGCACACAGTTACTAGCTTTAAAATGTATGATTCTTCCAGCCATGAGGGAGATTTTAAAAATCTGCATTAGAAATAGGGAGATGGCCAGGCTAAAGCTCCCTGACAAAATTTCTCGTCCTCCTCCTCCTCCTCCTCCTCCTCCTTCAATGATGATGATGAATTTATTTATTTCACCTTTCTCCAAACAATAGGACCCTAGGCAATTTGCAACATATTAAAAGCAATACTGATTTTTTTTAAAAAAAAGCTATTTAAATACATTAATAAATATGTACATATATATATAATTCATTTAAAAGTCAATTAAACAATTTATAAAGTTAAAACCATTAAGAGTGTATGCAAAACACAAAACAGCATAGTGCTGAACTGAAAGCCCCTCCCAGGTAGTTTCTAAAATTCTAATAGCATAATAATGAGGAAACAATCTTAGCCTCCCTAGAGAAGATGTTTCAAAATCTGAGAGCAGCCACTGAGAAGACCTCTCCTTTGTTCTCATCAGATGAGTCTGAGAAGGTTGTGGGACAGAGAGAAGGTCTTAGTATTGTAATGGACTCACAAAGGGAGAATACAGTCCTTCAGTTTGCCTGGACCCATATAGGGCTTTACAAGTCATAAGCAGCACTTTGAATTGTGTCTGGAAATGGAGTGCCAGCCAGCTGGAGCTGTTGCAACATGGGAGTTGGGTGCTCCCTGTAGCCGTTTCTAGAAAAAAGCTTTTTGTCCCATTCTTGAATAATTGTCCACTTGATCAAAGCATGGTCGTGTTAAAAATTTTGCTTCTTCTACTACAAAGTGACCGGGAGTGAGGGAAGTCCACTGTTTCCATGGATTGCTTCTGTATTATTTGTTGCTGCTGTTGTCCCCCCCCCGCCGCCATTGGCTTATTTCCTTAAGCTAGTTTCTTGACTATTATGTGTCTATTATTCCACTGATTATTATGAGCTGAATATAAAGGAAATTAGGTAATTCCAATGAAATTCAAGCATAACTAAATTATTCTGTACCCAGTCTGATGATTCTTAATTACTATTTGCTGCTTTGACGTAGTTTGTAGAAAAGGAAGAAACACATTTTTGAAATAATGTATTAAATTTGATGTGTGTGTGTGTGTGTGTGTGTGTGTGTTAGGAATGGAAAAATATTCAAAAATATTTGGAAAATGGTTGAAAAATATGTTTTTCAAGTGTTGAGAATTTCTGATGAGAAGAATCTTGAACTTACGAGAATCTTTGCAGTTCAGGACTGATTCTGCACAAAATTCATGTGTGATTGTTATGCACAGAAAATGCTGTTTAGTGCATAGAAGACAACATTTTTGTGTAGGAATTAATAGTTCTGTATTGAAAATTATTTTATATGCAGAAACTGCTTTTTTTCCTTGCATATGTGAATTATGTGTAGATGAATCCTGAATTGAAATAATCCTTCAAAATCTGTGTGGTTTTTTAATACTTCCTTGAAATGGGAAGAAAATTGTTGAAATTACCTGTGCTACTTTTGAGAAGAATCTTAGTGAAGAATGACATCCCTAGTGTGTGTTAGAGAGAAAGAGAGACTCGCTCAAAAACTGAGTATAACTCTAGGTGTCTCCAAGGATTATTTCAGCGCAAACACTGACACATATTATTGCTACAGTATAAGCTTTATTGATGGTAAATGATGCAGCAGATGGTACATAGCAGAGGAGCATTCTAGCCCATTCACTGATGAAGTCCAGCACCTTTCACAGCCAGTATTAGATTTGGGCTGCCTAAAAATCTACCCAGATTTATACCTTTGGCTAGCAACCAAATCCTTGTTCCTGAGCTTATAGAGCACCTCTGTTGGGTGAAAGATAGGTTCCCAAAAGTTATAAAGTGCAGAAGAAAACAAGGAAAATTAAAGTGGGCAAAGTGTGTCCTATCTCCCTCTCAATAATTATAAGAACTGCAAGCAGGTTAGTAGTGAAGAAAAATTATCTCTCTCCGCCCCCGCCTCCATTAGCCATCCTGTATTTTCCCAACTTCAAACTGCAAAGCAAATATAAAAAGCATCCAGCAAGGTCACTTACACAAGTTACCTCTTTCATACCACTCAACAGCTGTTAGCATTTGGCCATGATGCTAACAAGGACTCCAAAGCCCATATGCTCAGTGGCAGAGGTCCAGCTCACTAGAGGAGAGAGAATTTAATTTTATTCATGCATTCTAAACCAGAGATTCGAAAAGAGATCAACACAGTTTTTGGACTGCCACAATCTGGAATTCCTGATCTTCCAGGCTTCTAAATTACACACTGAATGTATATGAGAACAGTCTTCCTGTGTATACACTGATCTTCCAGTCTGTGAACAGTTGTGGAGATGGCCATGGTGACAGAGATCTGTGGTGGTGTACTGCTAAATTCTGAAGTTCATCATGTTTGTCCACAATCCCAGGAGAATTAAAAAAAATGTAGGCAATTGTATTGATCTCTTTCAGAAACTATTTCATAGCAGTTTTAATTTCTACCAAAAAGCAAGTCTCTTGTATGACTAATTGGTCTTAATTCAAAAATAAACCATCCCATTTGCTTTGTAGGTCAAGATGACTAAACTGAAGCTGCCATGCCTTGGCCATATCCCAAGATGATGTGACTCACTGAAAAAGACAATAATTCTTGGTAAAGTAGAAGGCAGTAGGAAAAGAGGGAGATTATACTGCAGGTGAATTGATTCCATCAAGGAAACTACTGCTCTGGATTGGCAAGACCTGAACAGAGCAGCTGATGACCAAGAATCTTGGAGATCTCATATTAATTTTTTCTGTTGTTGTGTATCTTCAGATAATTTCTGACCTATGGTGACCCTAAGGTGAGCCTTTTCTTGGCAAGATTTGTTCAGAGGACTTGGCAAGATTTGTTCAGAGAGGGTTTACCTTCACGTTCCTCTGAGGCTGAAAGAGTGTGACTTGCCCAAGTTCACCAAGTGGGTTTCCATGGTGGTGGAGATGTGCACCTTCAAGTCATTTCCAACTTACCGTATGTTGACCCTAAAGCAAACCTACCATGAGGTTTTCTTAGCAAGATATGTTCAGGGGAGACTTGCCATTATCTTCCCCTGAAGCGGAGAGCATGTGACTTGCTTAAAGTCACCCAGTGGGTTTCATGGCCAAGCTGGGAATCAAACCCTGATCTCTAGAGTCATAGTCCAACATTCAAGCCTCTATACCACACTGGCTATCTGGGTTTCCATGACTGAGTGGGAATTTGAACCCTGGTCTCCAGAGTGATAGTCCAATGCTCAAACTACTACACCATGCTAGTGTAGTGGTAACCATAATTTGAAGTCAACTCAACAACAAATAACAACAAAAATAACAATATGAGCTAAGGCCAGAGAAAATAGTAAAACTTGGGGGGAATGGAAGATGGTATCATCTTCCCTGTTAATCAAAAAGCCACATCCTATCTCTGCTTAGTACTGATGAGGAAGGAAGTGCTATTGCTGTACTGCACTAGAGTGTTTCAATGGGAGTTCTACAACATCGTCTCATAGACTACTTGTTCCCAACCTTTGGTCCTCCATTTTATTTTATTTTATTTTATTTTATTTATTTTGTATTTCAGCTCCCAAAAGCACCAGCAAACTTGGCCAACAGTCAGGTATTATGGCAGCTGAAATCAAAATCATCTGGAGGACCAAAGGGTGGAAACCACTGTTCTAAACTTAATAGTGATACAGCTTAAGGAATATTTAAGGGCCTTTGCAGACTGCTAGAAATAGTGCAAATTGAGTCCACTTTAAGGGTTAGGGAATCATGGGAACTGTATTTTATTGTGGCACCAGAGCTCTCTGACAGAGAAGGCTCAATGTCTCAGAAAAAAAAACAATTCCCATGATTCCCTAGCACTAACCCTAACCCTTAAAGTGGACTCAATTTGCACTATTTCTGGCAGTCTGCAAAGCCCCTAAATCACTTTGATTTAGTGTATAGAGGATAGAAAGCTAAGTGAATGACAACAGAGGGATGCGAATTCATCCTTCCTTCCAGAAACTCTGGAAAGTTCTGTTTCCCTTTAAAAAATTTTAAAATATATATATATATATGAGAGAAACCATTCGCCTGTAGCCATGCAATGCTGGGCCACTGGTTTTCATTATGGATGGACAGTGATCAGTATTTCAGAGGCTGATGTACAGTTATTGCAGTGGAGTACCATCCCTGCTTTATTACATTGGCCTTGCCGCTAAGTCACCTGTGACAAAAAAACATTGTTAGAAACTAGTGGAATAAAAATAGCTGTGCAGCTCAGAAATTTGCTCCTCATGATAAACCACTACCTCTGAATGAAACTAAATATTGGAGGAAGTCTACAATAGTCGAGTCACTTGGGGTAATTTTAAAGTGCCAACTCTACTTTACAGCTTTTGTAGTCTTGGTTGTCCTTGCAGCAGCTATGCATTTAATGGAATAATAAGGCTGTTGCTTACATAAACGATCAGGACAAAGAAACCACTTGGACATAACTCCCTGGAAAGTTTAGACTATGCATTCTCAAGGAATTGAATGAATGGCTCCTGTTCTCCAAGGCTCTGTGGTGCACACAGACTTTTCCAATGAGTTGGGATATTGTTTCCATTTTATAGACTGGGAATGAAGACCTGAAGTTGCAATTTCACACCTACCCACTTGGGAATAAGTCCCATTTGACACAGTGGGGTGGTTGTTGTTATTAAACGCCTTTGAGATGACCCTAACTCATGATAAATCTCGAAGATTCTCTGTCCTCCACTACTCTCCTCAGGTAAATGCATACCTGTGACTTCCCTAATAGTCTCTCCATCTTGATGCAGTCTTTCTACTTTCCTCAACCTTTCCTAGCTTTACTGTCTTTTCCAGTGATCCATACCTTCTGATGATATGTCCAAAGTATGACAGCCTCGGTTTGATGATCTTGGCTTCCAAGGAGATTTCAGGCTTGATCTGTTCAAGGACCCATTTGTTCATCTTTTTGGCTGTCTACAGTATCCCCAGCACTCTTCTGCAGCACCATATCTCAAATGAATTGATTTTCTTCTTATCCGCTTTTTTTTCACTGTCTAGCTTTCACATCCGTACATGGATGTATGATGGGTTCACTGCTGAATAAACATGAACAGAATTGCACTGCAAGAGATAAACTGTGTATGTACTCCAAAGTGGAATGTGAAGATTGAGAAATGGAACCTGAGATATGTGGGCCAAATCTCACAGCTCCACCCATAGACCAACACAGGCAAACAGAAAACTGCCTATAGTGAAGGAGACCATTGGTCTAGTTAGCCCAGAATTGCTCTAATGAACAATAATGAATTTCAGAATTTCAAGAAGGAGGTTCTCTGGCCCAGCAATGGGCAACTGCAGAGGAAGCAAGGACCATGCCCCTGTGTCATGCCTATCTAGTAGGCCACACCAACACATTTAACCAACTGGAAGTGATGCTACATCACTTCTAGACACCATTGTTGGCCAGTTTTACCCCCCACACACACACACACACTTTCAAAGTTTTGAGTGAATGGGTGTGTGTATTAGAGAAAGGTAATTGCCACATATGTGGTGAGTTTGAGGAGCTTTTGGGTGGGTGCAAAATAACCTGATAATTGGCCCATTGTTTTTAAAAAGTTGGGGGTCCGGGGGCTTTGACGTCTTCTAAGGCTGTACTTAGGGATACCAAGAACTACATTTGGCCCATGGGCCAAGCTTTGCCCACCCCCATCCCAGACTGAACCAAAGTTCAGAAAATATTTTTTGGATTACAGGATCCAGAATTGCCCAGCTGGCTGGTATATTCTGAGAGATGCAGTCCAGAAAAGTAACTTTTCCAGGCTTTAGATTGAACCTGTGAGTGAGACCTTATGAGTACAAAACAAGGGCTTTGAGTACTGGAACATGATTCCATTGTTTCTTTTCTTTAAAAAAAGTAAATATCTAATCAAATTTTGCTAGACAATTTTTATCTCAAACATAACACCTGCCATGGTCAAAAATCTTGCTAGTCCATCTAAGGCTGCTGCCACACTGCAGAATTAATGTAGTTTGACATCGCTTTAATTGTCATGGCTTCATCTTATGGAATCCTGGGATCTGTAGTTTGTTGTGGCATTAGAGCTCTCTGACAGAAAAGGCTACATATCTCACAAGACTGCAAATCCAGGAATTCCACAGCATTGAGCCACAGCAGTTAAATCAGTGTGAAACTGCATTAATTCTGCTGTGTAAACACAACTTCAGTCTTTGCAAGACAGGGTCATTTCACAGGCTAGAAAAAAATTATTTTGACCCAAGTATGTGCTGAATGAGGAGTTTGATTTGATAGGCATACAATGCCCATGTTCACAAATATTTACAAAATGTTTTAGGAGTAGTATAGATAGAGTCAGTGCCACAGATCAGGAAATCTCCTACCAAATCTCATGTGGCATTGTGTTAATTGGTTACGATGGCATAAATCCAGTTTAGGCCATTGCAATTCATTTTTTTTTGCTCATAGCCTAGGCTAGAATTCTGTTCTAACCAGAGGTGTCACTAGTGAGGTGCAGGCTGCACTGAGGGACACCCAAAAGGAAGGGTGACACCAGCCCTCCTCAAACATCTGCCTTTTGGCAGAAACAGGCTGTGGCATTCACTTGTCCCTCTGTAAATACTGAAGAGATGGTGTCAGGTTCAGCTGACCAAGATTTGAAGAGCCAAGAAAACATTGCAGTGAGTTTAACTGACAATTTCTTCTGGACTTCAAAACAGAGGTTGCTACAGACAAGTTAGTGTCTAAACTAAGTTTCCCCAGAACAATACACCCTTTAAAACCCTTCCCCTTCCAGCCCTCCCCTTTCAAAACTCACAATGCAAGAGCCTTGGGATACATCAAAAGATTATTCCATTTGTCTGCTTCCCCCACCCTCTGCTAGCTCCTACATCTGCCCCAGGAAGGGAAGGTGTTACTTCGCTGGCCATCAAAGGTTGGTCCTAGGAAATAAACAAGGTTATAAACAGCCTTCCTATAGCCCATCTGTCCTCCCGATTTGGTAGCATTCAGAGAATAGTTCCTTTCCAATTGATTTCTACTTCTCTATATCGATACATCAGCACCTCAGTTATCCTCATTCCCTCATATCCTTTATTCTGGTAGATCCATACCCTTTTGAATATGACAGATGGTGCGAGTGGGGTGATGCGAGAAGAAAGCAGAGGCCCCAGCTTTTTTAAAAAAATTAAATTTTACATTTTAAAATTTAAAAAAAATAAAATTTAAGCTGTGTGAATGATATTGCAATTTAATTTTAAAAATAAAAGTTTTTTAAAGTTTTAGTTTTGCTAGTTGTTTATGTCACAACTGCTACATTCAGTGGTGTGTGTGCTGTGTGCTTTCAAGTCATTTCCAACATGACGTCCTCAAAGCACAGTGTTTTCTTGGCAAGTTTCTTCAGAGGGGGGTTGCTATTGCCATCCTCTGAGGCTGAGAGAATGTGACTTGCCCAAGGTCATCCAGTGGATTTTCATGGCTGAGTGAGGATTCAAACCCTGTTTTCCAATAGTGCAATGCTCAAACCACTACATCATTCAGTGGTATACAGGAACTTCAATTTATGAGTAACATTAGTACAAAAAAATTAAGGATTAAGGTATGGTATGGTAGGAGGTTAATGGGGGGGGATGATGCCAACCCTTGTGATGCCACTGGTTCTGACCACACAATGATTAACTCTCATTCCACCCTCTCCCACCCTGTAAGCCACATAGCCCCACTCTACATTGGCATTTCCAGGATGCTGAAGAGAGAAGGGATCAATGATAGTACATTCAGCCATTTTCCTGTAGCTGGATAGCCTTCAAAGACATCACTTGCTGAGATCTCCCAAAGATCTCTGGAGGTCCATGGAGGTACTTCTCCCAGTGCACCTAGGTAAGGTGAAATTGCTGGACATGTTACCTCTGATCCTCTCACTTTCTGATGACCCAGAAATGGCTGCACTGGGGAAGGCTGTGTTGTTTATAACGTGGGTTTCAGGGGATAGCATTGGAAAATGGATCTAAAATAAAGTACCACATGAGACACATAGATCTCCTGATGTAGGAACTTGGTCATAAAATAGGAATCCAGAGGTAACCCTAAGCAAGCTACACTCTCTCAGCCTCAACATGAGGGATAATAACACTAGTGCATCTTACAAGGTTGTTGTAAGGTGTACAACTAGGT